TTTGCTCCTTGCCGTGTTTCTATGCTAAAACTAGCTTGTTTTGTGTGTGTGTTCCTTACTGATGCTTGCTTAACATCTGAATATGAGGTATTAGGCAAATTTGGTGTATCATATTCTAATAGCAAGTCATTGTTCTTTTAAAATATTCAAAACTGCAGCAACTATTTCTTCATTATGCCTTTCTCAATAGTGTACGGGCTGTAAAAACAATGTGTGCATTAATTAGTGCCCATGAGTTGTAATACACAGATGTTTTGTGTTAATTTATGTTTTTAAATTGCATTGTGTGACTTTATCTCTGGTCTGATTACTTTTGACTTTGAAAATTTTAAATATGACTTTTAATGATATATTTAGTAGCTTAACAAGTGTTGGGAATGTTACTTCCAAAAAAGTTATTAACTACTAATTATATTATTTATTTATGTATCTAAATTACTTTCAATTTTAAATTACTTGACTCAATGCACTTAATATATTTTTAGCCTTCATTAGTTGTAAAAAAGTTTACTGAAAACCTAATTAAAATGAACATAATCAGCATAGACAAGAAAGTGTTTCCTCATTCATTTATTTATTCACTTTTGTCCACTTTTCTGGGACCGGGTCGCGAGGGCAGCAGTCTCAGGAGAGAACCCCAAACATCCCTCTCCCCAGACACTTCCTCCAGCTTCTCCGGAGGGATCCCAAGATGTTCCCCGGCCAGCCAAGGACATAGTCCCTCCAGCGTATCCTGGGTCTTTTAAGACATACGGTTGGAGATCAGACAATGCAACCAGGAAGTCCATCATTGAACTCCACCCTAGGGTGTCCAGGTGCCATGTGCACTGGTGGACTCGCTTATGCTTGAACATGGTGTTTGTAATAGACAAACTGTGATAAGCACATAAGTCCAATACAAGAACACCACATGGATTCAGATCGGGAAGGCCATTACCCCCAATCACACCTCTCCAGGTATCACTGTCATTACCCACGTGGGTGTTGAAGTCCCCTAGTGGAACAACAAACTGCTCAGTCTGCACCCCTCCCAAGGACTTTAAAAAGGCAGAGTACTCTGCACTGGTGTTTGTTCCATGGGCACAAACCACAGTGAGAGTCCTATCCCTAACCCGAAGGCGCATAGGGCCACCCCTCTCGTTCACCGGGGAAACAGACTGCTTATTCTGGCACCTTCCATCACCACTTCAAAGGACTCCAAGAAGGCAGAGTACTCTGCACTGGTATTTGGCCCATAGGCACAAACCACAGTGAGAGTCCTATCCCTAACCCGAAGGTGCAGGGGGGCAACCCCCTCATTCATCTGGGAAAACTCCAACACATGGCGGCTAAGTTGGGGAGCTATAAGCAAGCCCACACCAGCCTGCTGCCTCTCACCATGTGGAACTCTAGAGTAGAATAAAGTTCAGCCCTTCTCGAGAAGTTGAGTTCCAGAACCGCAGCTGTATGTGGAGATGAGCCCAACTATCTCTAGTCGGTATTCTCCCGCACAAGCTCTGGTTTCTTCACTCCCAGTGAAGTGACATTCCATGTCCCAAGAGCCAGTTTCTGTGCCCAATGATTGAGTTATTGTGGTCCTGACCTTTGACCACCAACCGTTCCACAATACACCAGCCTTTTATGGCTCCCCCTGCTGGTGGTGGGCCTGCAGGAGCATGGTCCCACATTGCTTCTTTGGACTGAGTCGGTCAGTTTCTGTGGGATAAAACCTGGCCACCAGTCGCTCGCATATACGAGCCCCAGCCCCAGACCTGGCTTTAGGGTGGGGCCCAGGCTGCGCCGTACTAGGCGATGTCACAGTCTTTGCTGTTTTTGCAAGGGTTTTTGAACCGCACTAAGTCTGACTTGTAACCTAAGATTTTTTGCCTCGAGAGACCCTACCAGGGGCATTAGCCCCCGACAACATAGCTCTCATGATCAATAAGGCACTCAAACTCCTCCACCACAATAGAGTGGCGGTTCATGGAGGAGGAGAAATTGTCTGAAAATGTCAATGAAATGCTTATGATTTCTACATCAAAATCTAGTTCTACTGTTTTAGCTGTAGCACTGTACAACAGTTTACTCTGTTTAATGGTGCTTTTAGCTCCATTTGTTTTAAACACATGTACACCAAACAAATGTTTCTCGTGCTGATACAGAAACAGATTTGCTGTATATGTGTGACAAAATCTGGGGAATATTGGGTTTAAAAATAAACAGATCCACAGGTGGGTGGAACTGAGTTTTTGTTTATTTGCCTTCTTTTGTCAGACGGCATGAACTGTGGTGGAAGACCCAAGCATTGTTTGCTCTTAAGAACACATTTACTAATACCGTACGTAGGAAGACCAATGGATAAACATAATTAGACTCACTGACCAAACTTCAGTCAGAGAAGCTTGTCTTGTTAAGTTCAGATTTCACTGTTGATGAGGCAGTTGCATATTTGCATTGGATCCAGAGGGAATTGTGTTCTAAGGGAACAATCTATGGGCCACAAACTTGCCCAGCTGTCAAGCTGATTCTACCAAACACATCAGAGATCTTTGATCACATCAAAGGATAATCTAATAGCTTTTACATAGACATATTTTAATGCATGAGTATGAAATCTCCTCTCCCCACCAACCACCTTAAAACAGCCAGTCCTGTTATACCCTGAGGAATATTTAATTGCTCAGAAGCTCAAGCTCATCTCATATTTTTCAAGGTTTTTGAAAAGAAAAGAAAAAAAAACAGGGGATTTTTTTTTTTTTTAAACAAAGTAGTATAATATGCACCATTATACCATTCAAGTGTGGGCTCAGTCAGATTTTTAATAAGGCTGTACAGTACTCTCATACATTTATGCTGTTTTTTCTGTAATATTAATATTTTGAAATATATTTAGAGTCACTCAAAAACATACTTTATTCCTGCTATGTCAAAGATCAATTCTTAGCATCATTACTTCAGTCTTCAGTGTCACATGATACTTAAAAACTCTTTCAGACTTTTAGATTGGATGCTTATGAAACATTTCTGATTATTACCAATTTAAAAAAATCTATTTGTGCTGCTTAATTATTTTTGGGATTCACACTTATTTATATTTTTACCATCCAATTTAAACAATTGCAAGATCAATCAAAGTGTTGATTTTGTCCCAAAAAGAGCTAAACCTTACTGACATCAGCCCATATATTTAGTAAGAGTATATATGAAGAGTTTAGATGCAAAAACCTCTAAATCCTCTAAGACATTTTTTTATCTTGTAAATAAGCATTTTCTATCAGGCTCCTCTGATAAAGTTCAGAAGTTTCATTTTACATGTAATGATAAGGTTATTATTAGCTTGTAAATAAAAGATCTTTTTTTTTTTTTTCAAAAATGTCACTTTAGACAGTTCTTTGTTTTTTAACAAGATAAATTTTCTTTTGCGTCAAAACCAGCTAAATCCACTTCTGCTTTTTATGCAAAACCCTCTTAATCCACCTATTGGAACAAGACAGTGTAATTAGTTGAAAATGAAGATGACATTACAAATTATTTTATAAAACATAAAACACAAATTACCTAAAATTTTAAAATATATAAATCTGTCAGGTAAACGGCGGTTCATTCCTCTGTGATAAACCAGGGAAAAAGCAGAAGGAAAATGAATAAATGAAATCTGTCAAGTGCTTTAATCAATAACATTAAAACTGACATTAATTAAATCTTAACAATCTGGTGTCATTTCTGATATTTGGGATTTAGATTTATTGTGAGTAGAACAATGTAAACATTGCAAACATTCTAAACATTTTGGTTAGATTAAGTTAGATTTGGTTATTATAAGTTTGGTAGATTCAAATAATGTAGAGTAAAAACATAGTGTGTCTAAAAGTAGAAAATGTAGTGTAGTTTGTGAAACATCAATATCTATTGTCCATTAATATAAAAAGCTTATCATGTATATAGGTATTATGAAGTAATACAAATAATGTATAGTTTTATACATTATATTTATCTTTTAAAAAAGTGCTTAAATTAGCAAATAAAACACAAGGTAACCCTATTGGACAAAAAAGAGATGCCTCTGAGACAGTTTTAGAAGCTGTCATTAATTCATTTTCACCATACTTAAGGTCTTGGTCCCGTGTTTATCCTCATAGCATCCACGTGGGATAAAAATACAGCATCTTAACCGACTTTCGTAAAATGGAGTTGGGATTTATTGTATAGTAAATCAGACTTATTCAAAGTAGCGTTGCTGCACAAAAACACGTTATGAATGCATCCTACGCTTCTGACAGCACATTGTGTTTTCTTTTTCTTATAATGCACAGAGTTTTGAGGTAAGGGATATTTTCATTTGCTGTTCACTGACAGTCGAACAGGCTCATGCTGTTCATCAAACTCTGTCTTTTAAAACCCAAATCGAGCGGAATATGTCTCCTCATAAAGCCAGTGTATCAGCATGCTGCTACATTGAAAACATATGATTCAATTCTCGCTTCTGATTGGTTCTGGGGATATAGCGGTTTTTGCTGTCAAAGACAAATGGCGTTCAGCGGCTTTTGCAAACAAACTGTTATTTCTGAATGCGCTGACGCTGGGATTTAGATGATTTGAAGCAAATCTATTTGTTGATGGTGTAGCATTCACTCAATGCCTTTATCTCATTTTTCCCGGAAGTGGCGTTTAGTGGCTTTTGCATTTGAACTCTTCATATTGAAATAAATTGCTTGATTTTCATCAAGTTTATCTCTACAGAACCGAGCACAGATCCAGTCCAAGCACTGCCCATTAATCTACATTTAAAGCTAATAAAGTCTAGCAGAAAAATAAATGGGATATTAAAAAGCTCTCGTTTATGAGTTTTCTTCTCATATGAGTACATGAAAGAAGAAAAAGGAAAAGAACGAAACTATTCGTGCCTCTGTTCAAAAATGAACTCATTTATGTTACTGTAAAAATCTATAGGTTGTTAGTGCGATCAATACTTCTTTCTGTGCATGTCGTGACCTTACTGTGAACTTTCTTTATTTCCTCAGCTCGCCACCTGGGACCCAATCCACGGACTGAATGGAACACTGACCGATCGAAAGCTGGAAAACAACATGCGTGGGGTCGTCCTACGGGTGGTCACTGTTCTGGTATGTACCACATCAACTTTACCAGCCAAGTCAATGGGTTAATGCTGTATGTCATCTAATACAGTGTTTCCAAACCCTGTTCCTAAAGGCACACCAACAGTACACATCACATTTTCAACCTCCTAATCCTAAACCTTCCTAATCAAACACACCTGAATCAACTCATCAGAACATTAAAAGAGACTCCAAAACCTAAAGTTAATGGGTCAGATAAGAGTGACATCCAAAATATGCAATTTTTGTGCCTCCAGAAACAGGGTTGGGAAACACTGATCTAATAGATACAATGTTCCACATACTGTAATTACAAAGTTTTACAAGATGTCAGTGATGCCTTTCTAATATAAATGACATCAAACAGGCTTAATTAGGATCCCCCATGTTTCGAACCTCTGTCTAACTGGACTTCATAAGGTTGAAGTAACTCAAGAGTAATCCATATTCATTCTTGTGAGCTCCAGAGGTCTGTTCACATCAAGCCACCAGTCTCTAAGTTCATTAAGAGTAAAATTTTGGGGTGCGATGTACGTAGACCAGGGGAGCTGGGTTATATTGAGATTTGAGTTTTCGTTATCTTCCCTCCAGCGCCGATTTGAGTAAGTCCCTGGAGTTCTTTAAAGATTCAGAGGTTTAAATTCTTCATATCCCTGCTTTGAAGTCAGTTGGAGAAGAAAGCAGTGATGCTGCTAGCCTGCGTCTCTTCTCTCTTTCTCTTCCTTAACCCCTCTATTTCTTTTATTCTGTGATTTCTCGCTCTGACAGAATGCTCTGTGAATAACGTGCATCCACATTTGCTCACAATAACTAGCAATTTGCAGTCTGTGCGCTGCTCCTAGTGGTACTAGAATTGAATGCATGTAAGCCCATGTTGATTAGCTGTAGATGCCTGAGGACAGTAGTCTTTTTTAGCAAGGTTTTGAGACCGTATGTCTAGCAGGTAAAGCAACCAATGATGTTTTAATTTGTGCCATGTCACAGTGTGCACTTCGTTAATGACCATGACAACAAGGCTCTCCCTGTACACATCTAGATACTAAATCTAAAACTAAATTAAGACTAAATCATCCAGCTGCTATGTCAGCATTTGTTCATTCATTTTTACACACATTTGCAGCTGACTTTGCCTTTAAATTATGTTTGTCATTTGACTATTTTATTATACTTGTGAGCGGGCAAACAGTTCATTTTTAAACAATTTCTTTGACCAGACTGAATATGTTGTTTTGAAAAACCTGTCTCAAGTAAAGTTATGTTTTTGCCATCAGAAATGAATGTTTTTATTTGGAGGAAGTTGCCAGGCAACAGAGATTCAAAAGGCACATGGAAAAGTTTTGATGTTATTCTGTGATGCGAAAATGTGCTAGTTTTTGCAATTGTTTTAGAATTTCCGATATAGTTACCCATGGGAGAAAAGACAAGGAATAATAAATGACAGAAAATGGTCAAACTGCTTGCTCTACAAACAAGTGTGTTCCTGATTATGCATAAAAATAGAATAACACAGTAAGTAAATATGAATTTGCAACATCAAGAAGCATAAGTCAATGGAAATGAATGAAACCAGAAGTGTTGAACCAAAAAGATTCTAAGAACTGCATTCGCTCGTACCTGAAGAATAAGGTCAATCAGCTCGATCTCACGTGGAACGTAACTATTTTACGTTTTTCTCAGTTTAGTGGCAAGTTCAGTCGGATGAAAATGTATGATTTTATAAAGGAAATGAAGTCAGAATGTTAGAAATATTCACACATTTATAAAAAGTTACAAAATAAAATAAATCTAAATGACCATTTCTGTAGTTTTAGTGTTAAGGCCAGGTTGCACCTAGTCGATGGTTGGCCATTGGGCGTTTCTGAACTATCATTGTGTGACTGTCAGGCTAGTTTGTTTGTTGTGTTCCACATGCTACTTCTCATCTAGCTCATGTCAGAGGGAGTTTGCCTGATTCAGAAAGTAGAATAGGCATTAACCATCAGTGAAAGAGCATTCTGATAGGATATTCAGCTGCAAATTAGAAATGTGAGAAAAATGAAGTGTCGAAGCTAAGCAAACGACGCAAGTCAAGAGAGAACGCAATCAAGCTTTCTCCTATGTAAAATTATTTAGATTATCAGACTTCTCTCTGTGGTGAGTGCAAGGTGCTGTGAAATGTACATACTGTAAACACTGCGTTGTTGAAGGTTTGTATGTGTGCAACAATAAATCCAGTTTTCCTTTTGTGGATTGACAATACAGACCTGTGGAAATGTAAAAAAACACTGAATGTACATTAGGATTGTAGTTGCTGTAGTCAGTTTGGTGTGTTCATGCAGTTTTTAGACCAGACAGGTCCAGATCTAGCCAGAGCCACTAGAAAAGTGGTGATTTTGGTGTCTCTTTGAGAATAAAGGAAAGTTCTTTTGATTAAGGTTGCATATTTGCAAAAAAGAGATTTTAAGATTGTGTTTTTGATATAATCAGGGGCACCCCTGGGTAAACTCTGGCCACCCCTGTGGCCACCCCAATATGATTTTGCTGTTGATATTATTAACTTAAATGTACTTATGTAAATTCCCAATGTTTCTATAGATAAATAAATAACATGCAGCAACTAAATTATTGTTGGTGCCACCAACCTAGCTCTAGCTGATTCACTGCCCCTCTCTTCCCATAGTGGCGGATTTGGGCAATTTGCCAAATGCCAGGGCAGCGTTGCAAGTATCTTGCTGGGGCTGGGCGGCACGCGGAGATGATGCAACAAAAAGCATCCCCTAGTAAAAGCATTGGGATACCATTTACTTTATGCAAGTGTGTTAACTTAGAGTGGCAACCCCAGAATAAAGACATTAAGGGTCGTTCACATCTTTTACACGCGTTCTCTATGTGCAACCGAAACAACGCTGGTGAAAGCAAACTGACACATGCGAGCAGAAAACCATTCCTGTGCGGCTCACGCACTCGTGTGTGAATCCCGGTTGTTTACATGCACGCTGATAAAAAACGCGCCGCTCATGCGCCGTGAAACCGGAGTAAGCCTTTTGTGAAGAGGTGTCGGCACACAGTGAGTTTTGAAAGTCGACAAAACTAAAGTTTATATAATATGATGATGATAATACTTTCACTAAGCATGGCTATAAAGCAGTAAGGAGGGATAAAGAGTCAGGGAGGTAAGACTTCATAACAGATAATTCTATAAAACACATATTTTTGTATTCTATAGACTTGTCATAACTAATATTCATGCAAAAGGTTTCCTAAGTGATCTTAGCATATCACTCTGTTACATTGTTTTCCAGTAACATTTAGGATTAATGTCTGTTATTTATTTAGAATAATAATTGTATAATAATATTCATTGTATTTATTTAGAATAAATATAAATACATTTTTATTTTTATTGAAAAATAAATGTAACTATTAAAGGAGGGTGGGTATATGGGGTGGTTCGCCCAGGGTGTCATAAAGTAGAACCACCACTGCCCTCCCTGATCGTCGTTGACAGCACACACACACATCTTCAATCGACAGTAATGGCTATGTAGGCTAATATTTACTTTAAGGTTCATCAATAGAAAAAGCTGCATTAATAAAATGGCTCAAAAAGGGATATACCTGTAGATAAATGATTTTATTAGGGTCTGTATAGTGAGTGTGTGTGTATATAGTAATGCCTGTTGTTCAGTTTGTTCATTTGTTTGTTTTATCATTTAACTCATTAATCTCCATTAATTTTATACATGGCATATACTGCATGCTGTACAATAAATGTATGTGAAAAACAACTGAAAAGTTATTTCTATATATGAGAAGTGTTTTTAAACTAAATATAAATTTTTATTTGGTTTGCAGACAAATTTATTAAATGAATTAAAGTCACATTATTTAATTTACCAGAAACAAAAATATAACATTATACTGAATTCATTATTTTTTTGTGTGCCACCCCAAGATTTGGTGTGGCCTCTTCTGGCCACCCCTATGAAAATTTTCTGGGGGCGACACTGGTTATAATCGTTGAAATGTTGAAAAATTACCTCTTATGAGCAAATCTTTGAGTAAAAAATTTCTGTTTTAAGATAAGTTTGAATGTCAAATAAATGGAGAGTAAAGTAGTTAATTGAGTTTGAATAAAGCATAGATACCATTTCTAATTTGAAACTATATCTTGAAGTAATAAGTAATGTTATTACTTTAATGTATCTTAAAGTAATGTTACTACAGGATTTGTTATCTTAAATGAGGAAAGCAAAGAGAGACTTGAGAAGGTCAGTCCCAGCCAGGAGGAGGGGGAGCATGATTGGTTTTTTACCTCAGTCCAGTCAGCCAAAGAATCATGACATGTAAATGAGAGGGCCCGTATATTAAATGACCTATAATGTAGTTGGAAATTAGGTGGGGAAAAAAAAGCAGTAATACAATAACGTTTTAAAATAGATCAATTTAAATTGGAGAAAGATGGTTCAAGAAATATAGTCATATTCATGTACTTTAATCTTGCTTTAGTCTTCCAATTTTTCTTTTTATCATTGAAAAAATATATAGTGAATTATTCATTTTAAATATCATTAACTTTAATGCCCTTGTCTCGTCACTTTTTTCCATCTTTGAAATATTTAAAGAGATTTGTTGATTTTTAAACCATCACAAGAGCCTGCTGGGTTCTTTCTATGAAATAATTTCCTTTTTTGCATGTTGGTTGCACAACATGAGTTTTAGGCAAAAGTTTACCAGATATTATTTATCTCTAAATAATAATAAATAATAAAAATTTAAATGGCTTTTCAATTCTCAATTATTTTTCCCTGCATACTCAACGGCCACTTTATTAGATACTAGTACTGGGTTTTCTCTTTTTGCCCTCAGAACTAACTTAATCCTTTGTGGCATAGATTCAGCAAGGCACTGTAAATATTCCTTAGAGATTCTGGTCCATATTGACATGATAGCAGCACGCAGTTGCTGCAAAATTGTTGGCTGCAGATTCATGATGATAATCTCCCGTTTCACCACATCCTTAAGGT